TGTGGGGGATAAAGTACAAACGCTCTAAGGATTCACTAAGCTAAGCTACTCACGCCTTAAATTAACGCATAGAGTTCATTGCAACATGCCCTAATTCAAATATTATGACAATTCCTTGGCAACGTATACTCATACGGCAAAAAAGTCTATAAACCGGCAGTTGACTTCTGACTTCAAACTATCATGACCCCACTGTATTTCATATTCGACTCCTTTTGCAGTACTCACCTTACCTACTCTCTACCTTTGTGTCTGTCTCTTTTACATCTTTGAAATACTCTTCTGTCCCCCCCCCCTCTCGACTTTTTTTCACTTTGATGTCCCTTTTCCTCTGTAAAGCCGGAAGTCGACTAAAGGGCTAATGATAATTTATCAAAATGCCTGCCATCTGATGTAAATATAAATAAATATTATGATAATTTTTATCTCAGTTGAGGTTGAATGGGAAATTTGCAGAACTTATAAACTAGTTGGGAGCTTTTCTCCTTAATAAATTTTATTTAACGTGTCAATAATAATTAATAAGATTCATGAAGATGAAGAATCATACGAATTTAGTCATGCCATGTTCGCAGAATTCTGAGGTCATGGTTTTTTTCAGGAAAATAATATCCGGGAAATAGATTTAAATGTAAAGAACAATGAGATATGGATTGCTGACATATGAGTAAACTGATTCCTTTGAATACACGTGACTGATTTCTTGCTACCTAGTTCCAATACGATACCGAAATCGAATATTTCTCGAAGGATAATAAATAGACTTAATACTACTTAAAGAGCAGTTACTATGAAATGTCTCAATTATTGATGAAACATTCATATTGAAGGTAAAAACAGATAATTCGAAGCAAATAAGGGTAAGAGTGTGTGGGTATAAAAGCAAATTAGATGGAAAGAGAAAAATTAAATGGAAAATTTTCCCACCAACAATTTAATTTAATTTCTGTTAGCAGGAATTGCAATAGTATTAAAACTGGAATCAACTTTGACCACAAACACACACTTTGACAACTGGCTTTAAATTCTAGTACAAAAACCAATTTGAGAGGAGAATGAGTGGACCTGCGGTAGGAGGGGAAGGAGTGAGGAGAATAGTTTGACGTGAAAGGAATCAAGAGGAAAGTAGAATGGATCAAACATTCGGAGATTCAATGAGTAAATATGGCGTGAAGTTAGCATCTTAGAATTCCAAGTTTTAGTAATTGGGAAGGATGGGGTTTTCCACATTCTCATAATACGAACAGTTAATTGTGTAATGCTCAAATTAGGCTCATAGGTGAGATCATGTTCACAGTGGTCAGAGTTAATACATCCTTTTGCATTCTAGAACCGGTTGATGAGACCGACAGAGAAATACTCAACAGAGATCAATTTAATTCACTCAAGATAAAGTCAAATTAATCGATAAATAATAACTTCTAAACAAGTGCTTTTTGAGTTTACTCGAAATAAGTGTAAGCAGGAAGCGTAATACTGAGAAAGTAAACTATTCACTAATATAGTGAAATGCCTGTCAACAAATGGTAGAAACAAATGAAAGATTGATTTCACTGATAGACAAGTTGGGAAGAATATCGAGACACTTTTCTTACATGCCCCAAATCCAATGGCTTGTGCAAGATGGACATAAAAGTCCTCAAGTGAGAAATTAAAAATGGAAAGAGGCATATTTAAGCTTGCGTTGTACTCACCAGTAGTTGAATTTAAAGCAAATTCGGGTTTGTCTGTTTCCAGAAGACGGTATTTCACAACAGCATTGTCGCCTTCATCCAGCGAAATAGCCGTGAGTTTCATGATCAGAGTACCGACGGAACTAGCTTCGGAAATTTCAGCAGTAGGCCTTGGTTCCACGAACTGTGGTGGACTATCGTTTACATCCACCAGTTGTATTTCAACACTAGCGGTAGCTGAATGAACTGGACCACTTAAACCACTCCCTTTTGCTGCGCCATCTGTTACAAGAACCACAAATCGATGAAGTGCCAAGGTCTCTCGATCCAGAGGTTGAACAACTCGGAGAAGTCCTGAATGCCTTTCCACTGAGAAACTGGCGTTTCGTGGAGATAAAATGCTGTACTCCAAACCGTTTGTGTCCACTAAAATAGAGTCAACCAATTAGACCTAGGGTAGAACGTCAGCACGCGTAAAATTATTTATTCATTTCCTTTTAGCCATGAACATTTTATATACATCCAAAATTGTAATGAAAGCAGGTTGTGATTTTATATTGAGATAAGCATATTAGTTATGAAAGAATACTTAAGAAATTATCATTGCATAATTCTAATATAGTCTCGGTGAGTTTATTGGTCAATAAAATGCGAATAAATTGGGATAAAACCAACGAGCTCACATGAAAGACTTAATCGTCAACTCAGAATTTGAATGAATAATATTGAGATAGTTGGAAATATGGAAAGAAATAGCCCGTAATCTAACTTCTCCAAAACAAGGGTGTGTGATAGACTTACCTCCACATGGTGCACCCTGGGCAACGTTTTCTCATACGGCAAAAAAGTCTATTGACTGGCAGTTGACTTCTCACTTCAAACTACCATGTATATCATATTCCACCACTTCAATAGCACTTACCTTACCTTGTTCTCTGCTTTTAGGTCTGTCTCTTTTACATCTGTGAATCACTCTTCTTTCTCCCCTCTCGAATTTTTCACATTTTGATATTCCTCTCCTGTGAAGTCCGAAGTCAGCCAAATTGCTAATGATATTTTATCAAAGCGCTTACCGTTTGAAATAAAACTTCTCAAAAACAATAATTTTTGAATTGATATAAGCTTTTATTGTCCTGACGATTTAAAGACCATATAAGGTCATGTAGACATCAATTTGAAGTGAAGGAAATTGTCCAATCGAATGGTGATGTAATATTAATTAATTAGCCGATAGCATCATAAAATTAAAGATTACTAATAACAAGTTGAGATACAGTCGATTTTACATGGGTACATCAGTGCCTGAGAAAAACTGTTATATACATTCCTTTAATCACCAACTAATGTTAACTCCCCCCCCCCCAAAAAAATAAGTAAATTACCTAATTATTCTTTTACCAAAGCAATTAAATAGTTGAAAGAATAGCTCGTTCCCACAAACCATCTCGTTATTGAGGACTGAGTTACTTCCATTCAATGATTACATTAAACAGAAGACAGAAACTACAAATTTCAGCAATGAAGCAGTGTCGAAAGACTTTTAATTTACGAATTGAACAAACTTGACTTATTATATTCGTGTGGTTTCTTATAGCTATTAATCATCACAAATATAGTAAATGTACCTAAATCAGCGTCAGTAGCATGAACTTTGCCTACTAGACTCCCAACCAATGCATTTTCGGGAACGGAAGAGAGTTTAATAGGTTCATCAAAGATTGGAGCATTGTCATTAAAATCCAGAACTTGAACTTTGAGATCGTAGTGACAAGCATGATTAGCGCTGTCTTTAGCCTCAACGCGGAAGGAATACTCCTTCTTCAATTCATAGTCCAACTGCCAGGTTAGAAATACCTCTCCTGTTTTCGGATCAACTTCAAAATCATTTGCGTCATTTTCGGCATTCAATAGACTGTAGGAAATTTCTGAATGAACCTCCAGGATGTCAGCATCCGTTGCATTGAGATAGAAAAGACTTGTACCATTTTTAGAAGACTCTAGTACTTCTGTTTCACGATTAGGCTGTAAAAATACAAAAGAGAAGAGTAAAGTATCTATAAAATATACCGGAGGACATGCATTCGAATAAAACCTACAATATGACAAATGGGTGAGTTGTCATTTACGTCATCCACTCGAATTCTTAAAATGAATGGACGAATGCTTTCATGCAATCCATCGAATGCTTTCACTTTCAACTCATAATACTGTTGCGACTCAGCATCCAGCCTTTTGCGAACGTAGACTTTGCCATCAGATGAAACAAAGAACTCTTGAAGTGGCCCTCCGACTTGGTAAAATTTCATAAGAGCTGGATTTGAACTGACGTCTTTATCCACAGCCGAAAATTGAAAGATAGGAGAGGATGGAAGCGAGTTTTCAGTTACTCGAATCTCCATTGAAGGTGAATCGATATTGACAATTTTCGTCAGGTTCCATTCAGGAGCATTGTCGTTCAAATCATGAACCTCAATCGTCAAATAGGACACTGCTGTATGATGAGCTGCATCTTTAACGCTAACCTACAAGCAATTGTTTTTGCGTAAAAGATTAGGAAACATGAATAGCCATTGATAGTCTTTTTAAGAATACTTACTTGAAGCTCGAATGATTCTGTAGCCTCTCTATCGACAAGTCCCGTCACGGTTATCCAGCCATCAGAATCAATAGAGAAAGGCAATAAGGAAAGGTCTGAAACGATGCCGGGTTTTTGTCGGATAGAGTACGAGAGAAGACCTTCATCGACAGCATCGCAATCTTTGGCTTGCAACCTGTATATCCGACGACCGAAAGGTAAATTTTCTGGTATACTGATTCGCGCTCTGCAAGAAAACCTTAACGTTACTTATATAAAATAAGTAGAAATGATTTGAAATGAACAATATGCATACTTTGAATCAGACTGGAAAACGGGAGTACAATCATTTACGTCCTCAACCTTAATCGTGACATGAGCAACTTCCACCAAGGGAACAGCAAGACTATTTTCTGATACTGAAGGAATACGATATCGTACGATAAGTTCATGAGATGATTGAGATTCGTAGTCGAGGTCTTTTTTTGCGAAGATAGACCCTGATTTGGGATCTATTTTGAAAAAATTCATAGAAGACGCGGAACCAACGAGAGACCACACACCCGCTTGCTTGTGATCAGGGACAGATTTGATTTGACATCCGGCAACAGGTTCATTCAAACTGTGGCCAAGCTAAAAATAAACCATAATGGACTCAAACATTAAAATTCCAAAAAACTACAAGATTTTCCATCAGTTAATTATGCTTGAATTTCCAATAAATCACATTTGCTGAGAAGACAAAGAATAAACCTTCTAGAAATATCAAAATCATCGTGCTCAAAAGCAAGCGAATTCGATCAATGTAGCTTTCTTTTTTTGTAATAAATATGCCTTAAATTTGCTATAGTTTTAGGCAAAAAAATCACATTAGTCATAAAGATTGAATTGGGAATCTTAAAATCATTCTTGACGCAAGCGAATCTGTACAGATTTCCATTAAAAATAATTCATAACTTTTAATGAAATTAAATGACATCCTATGACCTGAAAGTAGAGTCATTAACGTGGTCAAACATATTTAGTTAGCAAATTACATAGGCAAAAATTGCAATTATAGCAAGAAGCCATCATTTCAACTTGTCCCAATAAAGTGGCTAGAATCACCCTCTCAAATATCAACTTTCTACTCAATATTTGCAAGTAGAGTATTACCTCAGGAAGAGGAACGGCATTGCAAACGATTTTGATATTCAAGGGTAGATCGTTTGCAGTAAGATGAATGGACACATCAACGGGTACTGAACAGAGCGATCGATCTTCAATGGGTTGATCGCATGCCTCCACTAAGAAACCATATTCCTGGGTAGAGGGCTGGAGAGGGTGGGTCAAAAGCACTTCCCCACTTTGAGCATCAATGGTGAATGGAAGAACATCAGAGTTGGAAATATGGGATGAAGTAGGAAGAAGCCGATAAATGATATTTGCATTGGACCCACTGTCTTTATCATGAGCTTTAATTCTTAGTGGAAGACGTAGCCCACCCGGCTGAATTCTACTGGCTGATGCGAAGGTCACCCATGTGTCATCTGTGTACTCGCTAGGAGGCAGAGTAATCTAAGTGAAAGGGAACACATCAAAGAATAAGATGTTAACTTGGTAGTAAAAAATAAGTTCAAAGCAAAATGGGGTTCCATTTAGGGACTGCCAATCAGACTGCGATATGTGGATCAGGTGGGTCATAAAGCATAAACCCCGTTTCTACCTCTTTATCAATTAAATAATTTATTAAGAAACATCAAAATACGATATCTAAATAACACCGTGAATTGTTTAGACATATATACTAATGTTAAATTTATATCGATACAACTTATTCAATGAGGGCAAGCATACGCGAATTTCCAGCCCCCCTTCACCAGAGCTTCGAATATTAAAAGCAACGATAAGGTTCGGACAAGTAATTTAGCAGAAGGATGGTAAAAAAAGAAAATGGGAAGGAGAAAAGATAACAAAGAGCTTTCAAAGTAAAAATATTTCTTTTTTTGGACAAAAAGCAAAATCAAGAGAGTGATCTCAATAGAAGGATTTTTTGGGGAGGTTTTTTTCTTCCAACCATTTTGTGATTTCATTATTTCAATATAAGGACTCAACTTTGTAAAATGAGCTGCTATTGTAATCAGATCCATGGCTTATAAGACCGAAATATCGATAACATAAAACAAATAACTTCAACTGATTTAAGATGGTTTAATCCAGTATCGTAGCTAAATTGGGAAATGAGCGACAAGATGGGAAAATTCTAGTTAATTTTTAGTAGAAGGGGAGCTTTTCATCTGAATATTCCCGAAATACTCTTCACCAATCTGGAGTTAAATATTGTTAAAGCTTTCCTTGGATCCGCAAATTTCACGGATGGGAGCTACTTTAAGTCATTAAATGTTTCTGGGAACGAGAAAGTGCGTCTATAGTCAACCCACTAAGATAAGAAGGTGAATCTCTCCGGCTGAAAACGATGTCTTTTGGCTTAAATAAAGACTGGTCTAATCCGAATTTGACAGCGTTGTAAAACACTAAAAAGACAACGATTTAGACGAATTAAGCAATGTAGAGTAATCATAACACCTACTAACAATGAAGTAGTAAAACAGTACACAAACGCAAACAAATAAAACAAAATGATCAATGCTCGAGCAGTGAGAATTCAGAGTGGAAGTAGTGAATGAGCCTCGATCATGATTTTACCAACAAGTAAAAAAAGAAATAATTAGCACTCCGTCAGTTTGTCGAGGATGATCTATTTATCGTTCATGTCAGATTAACAGAATTTGTGAAGGCTATCGATGTGCATGTCAAACTCAATGACTAAAAGTGACAGAGTGTCAAAGACTGGGGGGAATTGCAAGCGTTGAGGAGAAAATTTGCGCAATGAGACAGTAAATAAAGATGGTGTTATTTCTGATATAAGTGATTTGAGGCAACTAGTATCTTCTACCAATTAAACACAATTGACAGAAAACAGAATGATAAAGGTGAAGGAAGCAAAAATGAAACAACAAAACGAATGGAAATACAAGGGATTTTGTAAACACAAACTAACTCAACAATGAGGCAAAACATTCCAGAAATGCGTTTATTTAGTGCAATACATTGAAACGGGCAGGAATTATTTGGCAGAATTTAAAATTACGGGAACAGAATCTAATAGGAAACGAAGAGTAACCTTTACAAATCCACTGTAGACTATGGTTAGTGCGTGCTATTTAGGAACAAAAAGAGATCAGAATAGGTCGGCAGACATATTCGCCTTCCCATTTCAGCTAGAAAAGAGGGCGAAAGTGATCTTGTAATAAGTCAAAAGTTATTCACCAACAGAGATGCTTATGTGTATAATTATGCAACAAAACATTTTGATAGCATTGGCATTGATATCATAACCGCAACCATAAACTCTAACTGCCAGGATGGTAAAGGGAAAAGGTGATGAAGGAAGGTATGCAAGTTTGACCTTTTGATTAGGTGGATTACAACACGCGTGGGTATGATCGCGAATCGGTGGAGATTTGATGAGAAATGGTGGGAGGGAAGGGAGGGGAGTGGAGGGGAGTGGAGGTGGGGCAATTGTGGTCAAATGTGAAAAATGCAAAATGCCAAGTCCATATGCAGAAATGCCATTCATTAATGATAAATACACACATACCCACAAAAACACAGTGGACTGCTCATCCTGCATAAAAATGTTAACCGTCTTCTTTCATCCTCTTTTACGACTTCTGATTTCGGAAGTTTATGAGGCACAAAAAATATAAGCATTCCAACATCAATATATCATCATCCTATTCCTCTCTTGGAGGCATAAAGGGGATCATAATAAGGCCATGAGTCAAACCTTGATTTTGTAAATTGTAGTTGTCTTTTTCCAAGAATTAACTATAATAATAATATAATGATAATCAGTTCGGCTTATCATAAGTCAGTGATTTAATCTTGATCGGAAATGTTTTCAAAACTGAATATGAAGTAATAAGGTAATGGAAACCTATTTTTCCGATTTTCGGAACCCAATAAGACTACCAATAAGATCCCATATTTTCGAAAATGAACTGAAACCTTTGAGCAGCAAACTGAAATGGGCTGATTGACTGTGAGCAAACGGATTTCTCTGGCCGATTCGGGTTTCCCAGTGAACAATAGCAGTGGGCAGGAAATTAATTAAATCGATATGTACAATAACTCCCCAACTAAAATATTTGGGAGGGCATGAGGAGTCAAATCTTGAAGAATTCATGAAAATTCAATTTGCGTGATTTTGAAATCGAGTACTAAATGGTTTAAAATGCCGTGAGGAAAAACTTAGCGAAAGTATGCCTATCTTGTCCGGAATTCCATCAAGCAATCCCCGCATAAAAGAGGTGTAAATAAGCCTATCAGAAGAGAAAACATTAGACAACTAGAAATATCAAGACGTAGAATTTGTCAAAACTCAAATGCACCATCTAGAAACCAGCAATATGCTAGCTGCACCAATTTTAAGTTTAAAAAAATGAAACCTCTCATTGATAACAGTTTTAAGTCCAAGTAACTAGCAGGCCACTACTTGTATATCGATAGGGTTGATTGGTTCCTAGTCAAAGCTGCTTAGTCTCCCCCCCCCCCCCCCCCCCCCCCCACCCCGCTATCAAATTTAAAAAATCAATTTAAAGCCAATAGGTTTTCCCAAATTAAGGAAAGAAAACCTTATTTCCATTCTCCACAAACGACTTCAGTAGCCAAGGACGTCACCATTATTGAGTGAAAACATTCAATTTTTGTTTAAAACGTGAGTGGTCATAGAGAATCAGTGGATTCAAGTATCTGAGTGACGATATCGACTTGAAATTCTAAATAATGAAGACTTATCATAGCCCCTTAAATAGAATCAGAGATTGTGATCAACTCTAATAAATTTAACTAAGCACTTATATTCCCGATCTATATTAAGGAATAGAGATTTCCTCCTTTAACTTATTCATCATCAATGACCTAGCATGCAAGAGCCAATTCGTCTTGGGATTATAAAATTTTAACTGCTTCATGAATTATTTAGTAAGATTGGAGCACTACACGCGTTTGTTACGTTGCATTTTAAATAGCCCCACTTTCCATAGCTGATTAAATCTTGCCAACACCAGAGTGAGACGTCGATTTTTGCCAAGTTGGCAGAACCGCAAAACAGGTTTAATTATCTTTATCCGCAATTGAGGTTTTTTGTTCACCTCCGGAGTTACATTTCATTTTAGAGAGAGAAAGGCGATAACGCAAAGGAGGCGAAAAGTAAAAAGGGTTAAAAATGGAAGAGGAGGTTGAAGACGAGAGAGAGAGAGGGAGGGTGAGAGAGAGACCAGAAAGAAGAGAGTGAAGAGAGGCGAAATCGAGATGGAAGCTTTTTCAGTGAACAACTTGCACGAACTAGCTTTCTTTCTCTGTTAATCTTGTAGCACTCGAAGTGATTAGGCATTCGATGCTTACTTGTCAGAGGGTCTATCAAGTAAGATCGGAGACCTTTTTCATCAACCACGCAGAGGGAGAGAGAGAGAGAGAGATAGAGAGAGAGATAGAGAGAGAGAGAGTGCGATGAATTACTAGGAGAAATCTGCCCAAATGAGGCTTGTGTTTTACTGACTCTGAGTGAATCAGATCAAATGTAGACTAAGTAGAGTTTGCATTCTAACTGTCTTCATCAATAATTTTTCCATTACTTTCAGCATGAATTTTAATTCAACGCATTTCAGGATGTTTATTTAAAATACCGAAATGATGAAAATTACTAGTTTGTCAGTTTTTATTCTAACCTGATAAAAGATTGGAATCGGTCCGTTTAGCTGTAAAGTTGTGCAGCAGCTCCCTAGACAAATGGACTTGGATCATTTCTCATTTTAAATTAAGATTAAATTCCAATATGTAACGTCTTGATGCCTTGATAAATGTTTGCAAAGCTCTGATGAATGCAGCTGGCAAATAGTTAGACGAGCAAGAACGAGAAAAACGACCATGTTTACTTAAACCACAAGAAAACTGAGGACTTGTGACTCAGAAGCCCTCAAATTCGGACAAACATGCAAGGCGTGATTTCGTGCGCTCTGACAGCCAAAACTAGCATCATAGTTAAGCTTTTTTCATTCCCATCCGCTTCCCTCACACTCTCCTTTTCTCATCAAATATGCATAAGGTAGATGGTGGAAGTAAAAGACAAGCCAATTTTTTCCTCTGCTGAATACTACTATTTACTCAAAAAGTGGTGAACTAAAGTTGATTCCATCAGAGAACTGTTGAATCTAAGAGGAGGTAAGAAAAAATGGTCAATGAGAATCAATCCCGCAAAGGGAACTAGTAATGAATCAGTGCTTCTTGGAACGCATCGTGAGATAATGGAAGAGAGGGAATTCATTTAAGCATTGGGAGGGGGGGGAGGGGTTGAGTAAGCTTTCTGCCAAATCGTGAGTCATGGAGAGGACATAAAGTGACAGATCGATTAAAATTAGCGCGTGAAACACCTGGCTGGCCAAATTTGTTCGGCACTAAACCTTGTTTCGGCACACAGTAAATTCATGACTTACCTCATATTCTGTTTGCTCAATGATTGGCGCATTGTCATTGACATCTGTCACCGTGATGTTCAACTCCATGAAATCTGACAAGCCACCTGCATCTGAAGCGATGACTGTAAGCAAGTAATGTTCCTTCGTTTCGCGATCAAGTGGAGATGATAGAGTCAGTTCACCTAGTTGATAGAAAAGGAAACTACAGGCATTGGAAACTAAACAACCCAATAGGTCATTAAGTAATTTGTGTATAATGACGACGTGAACTGATAAATTTCCGATATATAAAGATTAGGCGAAGAGTGAGGAAGAGGTAGGAAAGGATAGAAGTAAATGTCGTTGTTTAAATATCACACTTTTCCCAACCTTCGAAGGGAAACTGCTTTTTCTTCCACTAAATTTGAGCAAGGAGAGGAGTCGACTTCAAAATAATGGAAAACAAAAATAAATCGAAATTTGATGGGTAAATTCACTTTTCCGCTGTGCGCATGTCCATGGAGCCGACTCAAGTGTCACATTTTAAAACGATTTCCCTGAGCTGACTCATAGAGTTAAATAATTGCCGCGACCGACAAAATCAACCTCTTTGGTGTGTACGAGGGCGATACAGAGTGTGTTAATACCAGACACTATAAAACCCTTAAACTTAAGTGCTATCTGTTTATTTGTAATTTTTGCGGTAAAATTTCGCGAAATCAAACGAAAATGCACGCGCATATGCATATTCTCAAATTCTTTGCCTGGCAAAAATATAAAGGCAACATTAAGTGTGGGACATCTACACTTTATTTGGTAATTTATGATCCTAAAACAACTTGAAAAGCTATATAACTGCATCGTCCAAGCGCATTCAGGAAATTGTTTTCAATCCCTCATCATAGGTAGTGACTAGGGTTCACAGAACTTCCCAGGAGAGAAAGTCGAATTGTGTTTACTCCTTTGCTTCAAACCGAATTTATGTTTTCCCACATTAGATGTCTGTCAATGGGCGTCGAACCCGTGGCTTTCATTTTTAAGTAGATAAATAAACGTATCACAGAAGCATATCACAAAATTCAAATAACACATGGTTTGAATCGAAGAAGCCTCAAATCTATTTAAACTGAAGAAATCACTCAAGTGTACATCAAGAGGTCTGAGTCATGGGCAGCCTGGAAATCCATAAAAGCTTGAAGCTGGCGAAATTGAAAAGAGGCAATATTTTTTAAAAAACAACAAATACCTTGCTTAGGCCACCACCAAGAACTAAATAAACCCCTGTAACTATAAACAACAGAAACTATTACTACGCTGTAAAGGTATATGTTTTTGTTCACTCGGAAATGAAAATAATCACAATAGACGAGGATTGTATAAAAAGATAATTTAAAGTCATTAATTTATTAAAAGAATATGCCTACATTTCCTGAAATTTACCCAGAGTAAAAATGAATTTGTGAAGATGAAATAAACTGCACACATTTCCGTGAATGAAAAAATTGACCTAACATTTAAGTTATTTCACACAAGGAAGATTATTTATTTAAAATAACTGAAGACGCGCTAGTAATAGAGGAGCAAATATAAACCAGAGAAAGGATGATATACGTAGTTTTGAAAGATATAATGTCGAAAATGAGAACAAGTAAGCTAAAAAAGGAAACTAAATAATTTTGAATTCATAAAATACCACATGTCAAAACCATATATCAATTAGTTGAAAAAAGATCATTTTTACTATTTTTTGGTAACTTGATAAAATTGCGAAAGTTTAACGTCCCTAAAGAGTAAATGGTGAACGAATACTTCCGACTTCGACAAAATGCGAAAAAATAAGTTGGAGATTCTGATCTAATGAAGATTTCGAATCCCACTTAAACTATACAAATTTTTAGAAATTTCCCTTTGATAGGAATTAACTTACCCGTTTCTGAGTCAAGAGAGAATGGCACTTCTTTGGATTTTTCAAGAAGGAAATAGGAGAGGCGACTGAAATCTCCAACATCATCATCTTCGGCTGTTGTCAGCAAAGCAACTCTGCTACCCACTTGTGCGTCTTCTGGAATCTGAATTGACTGAACTATCACCGAGAAGCGGGGGGAGTAACGATTGCTCGGAACAACTGATACCTCCACCCAGCATGTTGATGTGTGCAGCCCATCAGATACCTCAACCTAGAAGTTTTAGAGTTATTAGGGTCAAGGAATGATAAATTAAAGTAAAATAGTCAAGAGGTACTTCAAACGATAGTCTAGCGGCTCCACCAGACTCATAAGCTAGCAGAGCTGATGCCAAACGATCTGAAGAACCGGATGCAAGTGGGGGTCTCCAATGAACTACCCCACTTGTAGAATTAATGCGAAAGAGGTCCGCATCATTGCTGGCAGGTAGTAGGCGGTAGGTAAGGCTATCATTGACGTCGAGGTCTGAAGCTGTCAGACGCAGAACAAAGGAGTCTGTTGGTGCGTCAGCTGCGACTGTTGCTTCACGATGACAGGTGTTCTCGAAAGCTTGTTCTCTGCTGGTCTCAAGATCAAAGAGTGGAGGATTGTCATTGGAATCGAGAATTTTTAACTAAATCAGCAAAAAAATGAAATTAGGCCCACTAGGCTTATTTTATTAATCTTGTACAATTGTTATTCAAAGGATGTTGAAGGCAAGGGAAAAACGTAAATTCAGAAATGATTTCTCAGAAGGACATTTTAGAATCATTAATCCTATAAGACATGATTGAAGAAATTTAGATTTGACTAGCTGAATTCAACTCCGAATTGATTTAGCGTTTATTGAAATTTGGAGGCGAATTAGCGTAAGGTAGTAATTTCTACGGAAGGTAAATAATCGATCAAGCTAAGGACATACCGTATCTGTTAATAAAAATCGACCTGAAAATGGAAGCACATGCATAGAGTCACTCTGTTCTGAACACTGATATACGACTAGTCTGTTTTGGTGTGCATTGGTGTTTCCCGGATAAAATGGCTAAACTGGATGGGTCAATCTGAGAATAGGCACGTGCTTCTAGAAGTCAAGGAAACCCAATTCTATCTGTTCAAAAGACGCGATTCGATAAGACCCAGATGATACCAAAACACTTTGTTTATTAAGTGTCCATCTGGCCGCATAAAATCGTAAATTTTTCCCCCAGGAGCCACACAATAATGAATTTTCTCTCGGAAATTGTCAATGCAAAGAGGAGATAGAGTAGCGTAGGGCCATTTAAAAAACAGTAGACACGCACATTGTACATGAATCTAGATTTAACAATCACTATATAAACAAATTTTAGTGAGTGGAAGAGATTATAAAACATTGTAGCAAAAGTCCAATTGGCATCTACAAAAGAAAGTTTCCGACTCCCAACACTCACACCCTCCCCCACCCCCACCCCCACCGCCCCCCTCTCATAAATCTCCCCTTAAAGTAGACAAAATAGCGCGGTTAGGGATGGTAAAATTATAACTTGAACTCACTAAACGGACAAAAAGGGTGAATTAACTAGCGTGGGAACGAACGAGTTTGGCCGATGACTCAGTGACTCAGGTAACAATCGCAGAGCAGAATGAAAATGGGGCGGTAGAAATTGGGCATAATAAAGCATCGGCCACGATAATTGAATTAAGATAGAGTAACCTTGAGCAGCAAAAATGAACATTCTCGACTGTATTTTTAGGACCAAAAGTAAAATAAACAAATGTCCCACGAACTTAACATATAAGTCATGAATAGGGCTTGACACTATAATACTTAGCATATGCATAATTTAATTTTGGATATACCAACAAACTTCAATGTAAGAATCAATATATATTAGGTGTGAAACCTCAGTCCTACAAACTTGTTTATTATTGAAAGTACCATTACTGGGAATCGTGGTCAGCTTTTACTCGACGAGATGAAAGTCCTTAAATTCCAGTACAAATCTGAATTCTTCATGTGGTTAACTCCTGGTATAGTCTCCCCAACCTATGTTACAGCCTTTTTGTACAGCTTTGTTCGCAGTAAACGTAGTATTGCCAGATATACCTTCCCGTAAATAGTTTTTTGGAACCGAATCATAACTGACCAGTTTAATCAAATAACCCTTTGCAAATTCTGAAACAATTCAAACAATAAGCGTTTAGAATTCGTGTTTGCTTCCAATAATTAATAATCGACATTAATTCGTGAGTACTCTTCTTGGAGAATTTTTGCCTTAAATGATGGTTGACAGTTTTATTTGATATATAAATTTGAATAGGGTCAATTGGCTTTTTAAAAGTAGCCTAAACTCGGAAAGAATATAATTTATCAGTATTTAGACGGACCTAATAGATTATTCCCCCTTCCACAAGAAAGCTTTTGGAAAAGAGATACAAAGCACTCTTTACTGTTCAACTTCCCAAACAACTGAAATGCCATGGACAAAATTATTGAGTTGTTTTAACAATGACTTAAAATTCAATTGTAATTAAAAGCGGAAGAGATTGAAGATTACTTGATGCGCACCTAGAAAAAGCCCACAGTAGACAAGATGGGAATTTTTCATTCGGTAAAACAGTAGGACACATGAAGGAAAAACACATCTCATAGCTGAATCATTGAAATTGATTTCTATAATTGTATAACTCGTCAGCTTCTAACACTACTTATTTAAGAGGGGTAAATTTTCCCAATATTCCATGAAACATGCCGGCGTTGGAATTAAAGCACCAGCTCCTCTTTAGGTATGTACGTGTGGTAGTAGTACTGAGAGATACCACCCAAGAGAGGGAAGAGCAATTACCGAAAACCACATCATACCCTTCACACTCAGCTGCCAATGCCACTTTGTACGAGCAAACTAAGGCGCACTGCAGAGTACGAAGCAGCACATTCGTGTGTGAAGGCGGATGAATCAGTAAAATGCCAAAGAGAGAGTGAGAGAGGCAGAAAGGGAGGCAGAAAGGGAGGGAGAGGAAAGGAAAAATGTATGTAAAGGGGAGATACAAGGCCCCAATAGGCTTGAAATCACATTCCACATTTTAAGTGATCGATACGGCCAAGTATTCATTGGATTATCATTAGGTTAAAAATTCTATTAAATAAGCTAAAAAAGCTCCCAAGGATGAACAAAGACTCAGTGATAAAAATAGTAAATAAGAAAAAATTTTAATTACTAATTTTTTGTACTTTACCTTAATTAGAAAAGCAGAATGTTTAAAGAGAATTGGAGTGACTCCAAATTCTAAATAAATGTGGACCTAACAGGGTAGATGATGTCGAAATCTGTCCGTCTAAATCAACCAGCGTTTATATTCGTACGAATAACCACTACCAAAGCAAAGTATATCAATTTTGTAGAATTGTTTAAATTAAAGTTCAAAATATATGCAAAGTTATCAAATTAAAGACGATTACCGACAGAAAAGGTACTAATGGCGTAAGAATTTTACAGAGGGAATAAATTTTACAGAATATCTGTCTTTTTATAAATTTTATAGATGTGCTCATGGTGATCACGAAAGAACGACACACTTTCTACAATGGTTAAACTCTTCCTTTCATGAAAGTTTTCACAACGACAATGATGACTGCAACCCAACTGAACATTAGAAGTGAATGCCTCATGTTGTGATGGCTCGAACCTACCATCAGAATAAGGAGACTATCGTCACCACTCAATGCTCTCTCCACACTCTCAACACAATTGCAATGGAGAGAACTCGAGGTTCCTGTGGCTAAAAGCGAGCAAAATAGTACGCCACTTGAACCAAGATGATTGCCCTCACACACCACTTTCCATCGAAAGGGATATGCCACTGTACCCCCTCACATGGGATCTAAATTAGATGGTGCTTCGGAAGTACCTGCCACAACCAAAACCGAAGTATTGTACCATAAATTTCTTTCACGTAATACAGAATTTTGTTCAAATAGTTTGAGTCTTAGAGCCTCCAATAGGGGGTGGGTGTTGTTTAATTATTAAGAGGTAAACATTTTAGGCAAATTATGAATTATGGGGAAAAGAGGGAAGAGAGAGTGAAGGAAGCTAGGAGAATGGAGAGTGGATTTTGGCCAGTGGGACAAAACTACTTTTGTGAGGGAGGAGGTAGGTAGGTAGTGAAGAAGAGTGGCCGATTCAACTGAAGGAGTTTAGCTTCAGTATGAGTCAGCCTCCCGCGTCTATCTCCTCCTGGCAATCGCTCACGAGCCCTTAGTGCGCAGAAGCAGGAGTAAGTTAGACGTTTAAAGATTAAATTTAATTCTTTCCACTCCTCCCACCCTTACCACCTTTTGAATTTCCTCCCCGAGAAACGAAGTCGTTATTGCCAACTCACTCATCCCCGGAAAGATGGCAGATGTAAGTAAAAGTTAATCATAATCAAAATTACCTCAACGAGTGATCGTCCAATGAGAGGAGGTGAACCCAGGTCTATAGCGACGATCCAGAATGTCAGAGAGGGTTGCTTTTCATAGTCTATAGTTTCAGAAATTCGCAATGTTCCATTAACTGCATCGATTCCCAAGCCCGGTACGAGAGTATTTTGCCCAATTCTTGTGTCTTCGTCGTTTAATGATTGAAGGTAATACCGGATCTAAAAGAGTTCATTGAAAAATCAAATTATTAAGTACACCTATAACGACACTGTTAGACTCTCAAAGTCCAACTGACAATAAGGAAATCTTGTGATTTTGTGCGTATAATTTTTTTCAAATTGGCAGCAATCTCTTAGAAAACTTACAACTTTACCTCTCAAGTTTTTATTAGCTTAAGACAAAAATTAATATAATTTTATGGGTGCTTCATTTCAGTAAGATTCTGGTTATGAGATTATTCATGGGGCAATTTTATGGTGGTGGGACGAAAAGATCGTATCACTTAACGCTCATGTCTGGAAGAAAAAAGTGACTGATTGACAGACAATGACAGTTCATGGACAGCTGACGACGGTTTGCTGACACATCCAGTAGGCACGCTTGACTAAGTGATTCAGATGACAGCTGTGAGGAGTATAAAATAAACACCTGGCTGTACGACCGAATAACAACCACAACTATACCAGAATTTTAGAAAATAGCCAGAAATGTGTTCATTATAAACCCATTCTAAATATGCCGGCAAATTTCAGTGAAAATTCACTTAAGTACCATTTTAATGTCGAGAATAATATGATTTAAGGTCTTATTCTCAATTATTTCCCCTCCAATGGCGTTTACAACCGTGTATTCAGAGGTAGTTGACTTCAGAAAATGGGCTTTTCATCAAATTCCTTTACCGATAATCCGCACTGATGTGTTGATTTAAGCTACTTGTCATCTGTCAGTCACGCTATTTTGGCGTGGAAAGTGAGACGGAAGAGAGAGAGAGAGAGACGTAAATGAGCAAACAAACAAACATTCAAAGTGTTTACCCGTTGTAAGGATTTTTTTACGCATTTAGTAAAAGTTGCTACTAGCATGCCATAGGACTAATTAAAAACGACCTAATTTCTATCCAAACTTATTACTCATTCGGTTTCGAGACGAATTCAATTTGGCTACTAAACTTTTTCTCGCCTTGAAGCGACGACGACTAGAATCTTATTTCGCCTCTTTGGCTACCACCTGATTGGCGGTTGGTTATTAGCGGGGAGGCCAGAAGTCAATGGTTGAGGAAAATGGGCAAAAAAGTACCCTTGCACGTCAAATTGTGAAATTTATACAAAACTATCCTGTTTTCTTTCCAATGCACCCCGGAAGCCCAAAGAAGACAAATCGCTATCAGTGACGAGGCCTGTAGTTCCTTTTTATCTTCACGGTTTAGTTCAGAAATTTTTAAATGGAGATTAGACCAAATGCTTTGATGCCATCTAATTTTATAGTAGATGCTGTCAGTTTATAAGCGGCGTATTAAAAAACCATGAGTGTATTCATTCGATTTAATACTACTGAATAAAAGTCATAGGATATAAGTATACAATGAGTACACGTGTTTTAGTCTACCATAGAGCTTGTTAATTTACTTGTGAATGATGTGGGTGAAGAAATCAAATCCAAATCAGCTGAGTTAAAAGATCGAAGCTAGCAACTCAGTTCGCATCGGAACAGTCCATTGTACATTTTATTCCTCAATGGGAATCAGAATTGAACCTATTTGTATTATCAGTTCAAAAAGAAAAAGTCAAATCCGATGCATATTTCAGAAGTATATACAACTGCGAAGTAATATGAGAAACTTCTGTGAACAACAGTTACGACCAGAGATTTCGTGGAAAATTGAGCACCACTTTACATAAAATATAGATGTATATAACACTTCTAGGGTTGATACTAATGGAAGTAGTTTAAGTTCTAAAGAAGGTTCCCACGATACACTGAAATGTTAGCGTAGTTCAAACAGAGTAGATAAGGCCAAGAGAATATGAATTTATGACATTAATAGGTCAAATATTACAATACAATTCCACAACCTCCTTTTTTCTCTCGTCAAGTCGACAGAGAAACTCTGTAGGTGGACGTTGGAGAGGCGAGAAAAAAGAACGATTTTTTGAAAATCTGAATGCGCAGTTTATGACTAATAGCTATGCCCTATAGTGATGACCCGTATGCCTTTTTGGCAAAAGCCTAACAGGTAGACAGAGAGAGAACAGTATCAGCAAGTATTTATTCAACTTTTGGACAAATATGCACTTCATTTTCTCAATTCAAAAGCGCATTCAAGTTTCGAAAACCGAGGAGATTACGGCATCATCAGGTACCCATTTTAATACGCCTTGCGAGACGCCTCAGTGTTTAAAAACAAAACGAATGAACGAACAGGTGGCTAAAGCCACATGAGGTAATGATTTGTGAGGTGAGGTTTGCGGAAGATTATTGAGATGGCGACGTAAAAGGAGCAAAGGAAGGGTGGTGGAGAAGGGGTGAAACATCTGCAACTATCTTCACACCATTATCACAAAGCTAAAATCTACCGACTGCCTATAAATTAGCCACAACCCTCAGTCTGCTTTCACCCCCCCCCCTCCCTCCCTCCTCTCTCTCTACCTCGTCATAGTCCAATTCCCCTGCTCACTTAGCCGAGCATTAGTCAGCCAGTGAAGCAATTTATTTCACCAAGAGAGGAGTAAAAATAGGTCGCGATCATGATGCAAGTTCACATGAAACTAATGGGATATAAAGGGGTGGCATTGTTTCTTGCGAGGGACATTTTAGGAGACTTACTTGCCCGTTAGCTCCAGAGTCCGCATCTTCTGCAAGCTGGGGAGGATGTAGTGATATTACTGATCCAATTTCAGCATCCTCGGAAATCACAGCCTTGTAAAGAGGGGCTGCAAACACAGGTCGTTCGTCATTCACATCCTAAAACAAGGGGACAGTTCAAACTAGAATTGCTTGAGAAGAAGTGATCATAAAATAAAATGAGAAATAAGTTAAGGTTTTGTCAAAGTAAAGAAAAACATGATGAACAGTGAGCATTATAAAAAGCCGAAATGGAATTAAAGTTAGAATCGGCTTGAATAAATGGCAGAAACAAGCACAACTATTTGAAGTACCCTTATATGGTGGCCAAAGACGAGAAGGTGGAATCAATTTTCGGTGAAATATGGTCATCGAAGAGAGAGATTATCGCCACAGCCCTGCTAAAAATTGCTGCCTAGGCAGTAAAATTCGTCTTCCTCTTCCTCTTATTCCTAAGAAGCACGTGTTATTGTTCAAGTCTAATAAACAATAAATTGCTCGCACTTCATACCAAGCAAAAAGTAATCCCCTTGCAGAGTCTATACCAATACCCTACGCTCCCCTACGAAAGATTCAATCAATGCCTAAAAAGTACTGCCAATTGAAGCTGAACTGACTATTCCGAGAGCAGGGAAAAGAAAAAAGGGGAAAGGTAGGAAACTAACAATGATGAAAGCAAGCCAGCGGACAAAATTTGCAATCGAAACTAATATATTCTTGAAAAAAGGGCTTAATAAGTGAATACTATGTTTTATTTACTGCAATCCTTGCCTGCATTGCCAATATAAATATATATATATATATATGGGACTCCTGCCAGGGATCTTATTTTATTAAACAAAACTTTAAATTATGGCTTCTTAAATAGCGATGAGAAAAAAGAACAAAATAAACAAACAAAAAGGGCTTCTTTCCCTAAGAAAATGGATGTCCATATTGGTAGAAATGGTAGTAAATTGGAGAAGAGGTTTAATTTTCTCTATAAAAAAACTGGATATTTTTTAAATCAGGGTTTGGAGGAGAAAGGAGGTAGCTTAATTGGTGCAATGTGGATACTATTGAATTCGTAACAGGAGGGGGGGGTGGGGGGTGGGGTGGAGTGTCGATTATTATTTAACCCATCAGCCCTGAAAGATGCGTGAGTCAACTACTAAAACACTATAACCAACTTCGCACAAAATTAAATGACTGAAGAGACTCACCGTAACATTGATGTAGACATTGACACGAGCAGTGTTTCCGGTAGTTGTATCCAAGGCCTCAACTTCCAGGTTGTAATAGTTCATCTTCTCATAATCCAGAGGAGAACCGACTCGAATAATACCTGCACAAAAACACATATTTAAAGTCGAGTAGCACAATAAATTAATATAACAAGCTTTAGGAAACGTGCAAAATAGTGTACTTGACAACACAGCATGGGTGACAACAGTGAATGATAATGAGGAAAACGACTTACAAGGACCAAATGATGCATATGCTACTAGTGTAAAAGGGAAAAATTAAGTTCTCTGTTCACTTAAAAACGAAAAAAATATGGTCATAACACATAAGATATGATCAAAGCCTGCCCACTATTTTGACATTCATTATTCATAAATAAATGTGATAAACGTAAAAACCCTACCCCATTCCGAGGAGGAAGAGAAAGAGGTGGCAAGCTCATGATAAGCTGTTCAAATGTTCTTCTTTGGAAAAACAATCAGCAGGCACACGAACTGCTTACCAGTTTCATATTCCAGGTAGAAAGGGCTTTTGACAATGCTTGATTCGCTGTGATCTGGTCCGATAGATACAATGCGATAGAGGAGAGTGGTTCCTGACGCACTGATAGCTGTGACACTTGCAACTGACTCTCCAATTGATGCATCTTCAGATACTACTGCTGCGTAATGAGTACTAGTGAAACGCGGTCCAAGACGAGCTGCTAATTGAACCGACACTTCCGTGTCAGCATAGCGCTGACCACCATCAGTAGCACGAATTCTCGCAGTCAAGCGTCGACCTGCCCAATCTGAGGGCACAGCCCGAATTAGCGACAATCGACCCGATATAGGATCAATCGATAATAAAGGCGGCTCCGCGTGAGGTTGAGTACTTATAATCTGATAAGAAAGCTCTCCGTTACGACCGGAGTCCTCGTCGTTCGCTTCAACCTATGAAATAAATAATCAACAAAGTGTTTCGGCATTTTATTTCCATATTATGAATACCATTCTCGTCTCTAAGATGCAAAAATTTCAACACTAGTGGTTACCTACTTTTTAAACGCGCAAAGACAAGGAGAAATCGAGAGGGGAAAAAGTTCCCTTTGAGAAAGCTGAAATAATTTGGTGAATGTTGGGTCCTCAATGTTTTATGCATTCGACACGCAAACTGTTTTTTACATGCTACGCAGCGCAGCGGAAGCGATTTACTTCTTTTTCACAAAATAATAAATTGCATTTGAATCAGTGCGGAGACCTAGTGCAATCCCTTTGATAAAATCATAGAAGACTTCTCATACAGAAATGGGGATAAGAATAGTACACGAAACCAGACCAAGGTGTTCGTGCGTCAATCAAGGGTTTCTACACTAGATTTAATATTATTGCCCCAATTAAAATAATTGGAATAAAATTAAAAGGTTTTATAACCAATGAAAAGGAAATTCACCTTAAAGAAATTCGATTGACAAAATTCTTGAAGTTGCGAGAGAACATGATTTGCAGGAGTCGTCAAAGCATTGAGTTTTGATGGATCTGAGGCAAGGGAATGCTCTTTAACACAGAAGGTGGTGTGATACGGCAATCCAATAAACTTAGGATCATGATCGTTGATGTCCTCTAGATGAACATTGATCCAACCCTCACCGAAACGTTGTTGACTCATTCCCAAAGAGGAGGAAACCAAATCCTTCACAAGAACTCTCAATCGAACTACTGGAGTAATCTCTCGATCCAAATCTTCAGCAGCAGCTGGATCACCAGTTGCATAGAATGCCCCTGTGTGTCGATTAATCGAGAAACAACGAGTGGAAGTATTGGTGAGTTCGAAACTAAAGGAAGAAAACGAATGTTTTAATCATCAGTGTGGGAAGAAATTAACTGCCAACAGGTGATGAACAAAGTAAAGTAGGAACAGTATGAAGAAGAGAAGGATTTTCTCAGGAACACCTGTGCTCAAAAGGTAATTCTAAGGGAATGTAAAAAAACTCCCACTCACCTGAAAACTTCATTTGGAAGGGCATTTCGAACGTGAAGTTGGCCAAGGAATTTGGGACTACCTTTGTTGGAGAAATGCTCAATGAGAGAGATATTCAATCCACCGGAGGGTTCAATAACCAGGCGTCGTTTGGTGGCATCGGGAGTGTGGATGAAGACGGTGACATTGTGAACGACTGTGTGCTTGTCATTATTGTCTTTAGCCTCAATTCGTAAATAGAACTGACGCTGACTAATCATGCTCAAACTAGCCAGCTGGTGTGAGATACGAAGAATTCCCGTGGATTGATCGATTAAGAAGAAACCACTTGGATCTCCTTCACCGATATGATAAGTCACCTGGAATAGAGGTTTAGAAAAGACACCTAATTTTACTGCTGAACCCAATATTAACTTACTATCGCCGTTGGAGCAATGCCAACAAAGGTGGGGTAATTTCTAAAATGTATTATTAGGCAACTAGTCGAGATTGTATAAGTCCAATGTGTATGGGGCCTAACAAATGTTGCCTCTTCTTCTTCTTCTTCTCGGTGAATGGAATAACACACCTTTTATAGGGGTTAGGCGTTGTTTAAGCTCAGCTGTGAGATACTAATATGAGTATCTTAATGTGAGTTAATTCAGCTAAAATATTTTCATACTAAATATATATTCGCATAAAACTCTACAAAGATCAGCTCTCTAAAGCATCATTTTTACGGAGCAGAAAATGGACAAGATGACAAGATGTAACAAACTCCGGCCATAAAGTCATAACTTCTTCATACTGATCAATCAACATCTCCAAGACAACGTTTCAAAACATCTGCGAGGAAGATTATGGGCCATAATAATTAGTAGATCATTAAAGTCCTCCAAAAGCCAATGAACTTTGAGTGTTTAAAAATTGTTCGTAGTCTAAAGTAGCTCCTTGCAGTGGTAGGAAGATCGTAAATAGAACGATGTGGTACGATCAACTATTCAATTAAATCATTTGGGCAACAATATCTGAATTTCGCTCATGAATTTATCCTACCAATAAAAGGATAAAACCACAACAATTGCGTATTGAAACATTGGGATATTGAAATTGAAATTATACACTTTATGGGTGTATGAACAACTCCATGCCTCCTAAATTCAAGTATGGCCCTTGTTTATCTGGCTTCAATACCTACTTCTGTTTGGTCCTCTCCATTTCATCGCTAATTGGACCTTTACGCAATTTCGAGTGTGTAAACTGCATTTCATAGTTAAAACGGAGGAAGTTTTTTGGCATTCCAACGAGGGTAATGATGACAAGCAAAGGATTAACATAATAAAGGTTTTATTTTCAAACGAAATTAAGGAGTCAATTAGTTGCACTTTAGAAACTTTATAAAGTAAATAAACTATTGGATACATTTTAATTAACGAAGGACGTTCCACGAATTAAACTTCCTTTCAAAACAAAATTTGAATTTTCAAAGTTTATTTTTCTAAATAAATAAAGAGGAACATCTGCCTTATAATAAGTATTTGAAGTAACGTTTAAATAGCCAAAAACCTTGTCAATTTCGTAATGACAATGCATGCTATCAGCTTGCTCGATCACAGGAGCTTAGGGAATATAAAAAAAGCGAAACACCAACCGCTGAAACCACAAATATAACAATTGAATGTACCACTCAGGCTTAATCTCAGCATATCAGAGGGGAGGCATGGGGTTAGAACGAAACAAATAAGAGTTAGCAATCTGCAGTGACTAAAGCAAGCATACTATTATTCTCCTCTTAGGCTTACTTCAAGGTCGCTCACAAATACTGGCCAAGGTCATAGAATTGCATTAATTACGATATATACTATAAGGGAAAAAATACGTACCGTGTCATTAAAATCAGGATCGATAGCGGTAAACCGAGCTATCTCAGCTCCTTCGTAGGTAGGTAGGAATACATTTACAACAAGGGGATTCGCAGGTGAAAAATGCGGAGAGCCTTCATTTCTAGCTTCATCAAATCGAACACGAATTCGAACCAGTGTGTCTGCAGTTCTAGCTAACGGAACTCCGCCGTCAGATATTTCCACATAGAGCATTATCACATTCTGCGATGGCATTGGCACGGTTGAACGTTGATAGAGAACACCCGTTCTTTGGTCGATAGCGAATGACTCCGAGTACCGCTCTGCCCAAGGTCCCACAAAAGTATACTTTACTTCACCTGCTGATCCTAAGTCTGGGTCAAATGAGCGTAAGGTGAGTGGTTTTCCCGTCTTTTCATCAATAATTGGACTGTTCGGTGGCGCTTTCGATTTCAGAATTCCATTCATCCAGAGCGATTTTACTTGAGGATTATTATCATTTACATCAAGCACGTGGACCTGTGATAAAACATGAGTATTTGTTAGTTTTTTTTTCAACTGAAGTTCTACCAGACCGTCGCGTAATTTCTTCCCATAAAAATACGAGGCATATAGCCAGTAGTATACAACTTAAGTAATTAAGCATTATGTGGATACTATGCGAGTTTTAGCTAGAAAGCTCTAAAAAATTAGATGAGCTGTCCATAAGCAAGTTATGGATTCTTGAAAGTATGTAATATAAATGAATGACATGAAAGCAAAATAGAAGCGACAAAAAATTATACTTATTAATGGACTGAGTAAAGAGATTAAAGGGTGTATAGTGACTATTTGCTTATTTAAGATCCGATAAATACCCTTATGATCCTAAGGCAGAAAATCATACTCATGCTACTTAGTTTGGAATTCACCTTCTGTCAGGAAGAATTAATTAAAAACAGTGTGAATTAATTTTTTAGGAAAGTATATATATGGTGATTAATTAGTTAAAGTTTGTAGTAAAGGAGATAGGGATTATCTGTGCAAAAGCAATCACCTAAATTGCATTCAACTCTCGAAGGTGCATGCGTAGTGAATACATTAATTGTCAATGAAATAAAATGAAAGGACAATTAGGAAGCTACTAACACACACACATATATATATATAGTCAATTAAAAGACAAATATATTTCAATTGTAGGATTACTTCAATCTCAGCGGTATGTGGAAGCTTAGACGGCAATCCATCAAGACCCGAAACTTGAACGTTGAGGCGATAGATATCTTGAGCTTCACGGTCAAATGATGTCAGAGAGACTAGAAAGCCCGAGTCGGCTGATATTGCAAAGTTGTCATTGTGATTGAGAAGCTTAAATACAACTGGGAAAGGCGGATGTGTCTCCAGGAAGTCTTTGAGTGGAGCAATAATGTAACCAGCGGGAGCATTCTCAACAATTTTCACGATAAAAACTGACTGTCGGAAGCGTGAAAGTGGTCTGGATACAGCACCTGGTCCGGGACTTAGATTTATGGTTATCATTGTGTGATTAGCACGATTGTCTCGATCAGTTGCTGTCACCCTGAGATTGTATCGCGGAGGCCATTGTGTCAGGGATGAGGCGTTCGGTTGTAAATTCCACAGGGGCTTGGCAATTCGAAGAGCTCCAGTTTCCTTGTCAATTTTGAAGAATTCAGCATCTTTCACTACAGAGACAAAACTAGATACGTAAATAAAGGATTTAGCATATTATTTACTAAATACGCCCCTAAACCAACCTGAAGTGATAGCGTAAGTTATACCACTTTCTGATTCTCCGTTGAAATCTGGGTCGTATGCTGATATTCTACCAACAGTGTTACCAACTGGAGTATCTGCCGAGGCTATTATAGAACTTTGAGGCTGGAAGAATGGTGCAAATTCGTTGACATCTATTACACTGATCACTAAGCTGAGATAGCTTCCTATTGAATCAATTCCATTACGATGGAATAAGCCCACAAGGAACTGATGCTCTTGCTGAGTTTCGAAGTCAAGAGGTTGAATAATTGTCAGTTCGCCTGAAAATAAAATTGGAAATTTCGAAAAATAACTCGTTTATGGTAAATAACTTTATATAAGGAATCATACACATAGGCATAGAGCCTTTTCATTCGACCTTATTTTCAGTTCACCAGTTCCGTTCATATACTGGAAATAACTCTGGTGATTTTCTTAGTTACAATAATTGTGTGAAGGATAATCGTTCAATTAACAAGAAAATACCTGATCTAATTCCATTTCGCTTTCGTGTATTAAGCAAATTATTCCTTGACGAGAATAGCCTAAATGCTTCTTTTTGATCAATTTCAGCGACGATTTAAAATTTAATTAATTAATAGATTTGGAGAATATTTATTTTAATCAATAAAACAGAAAATTTATTCGTCATAAATAATATCAACAACAACAACAACGATATAAGCAAATAGAGCGTAGAAAGCAGTGTGACTAAGGTGCTTAAGATCAAAATGTCCAAACACGAAAAGAAATGAACGAGTATTGGGGAATGCCGAGTTGGAAGGAAAGCTAAACAATTAGGTTAGAGCACGTGCTTCGAGGCGCAGCTCGGACAAGGATAGGGATTTCCTATGGAAAAATGCATGCGGTCCTAATTAGATAATACTTCAACTAACTCCGCAGTTATGGCATATGTAGAATTGGCAAGGCATGCATTTTTTTTAAATCAATGCCATTTATTTCACAAGCGATTGAATAACGCCAAATTTCAAATTCTGTTAGTTTAAATAAATTATGCGCCAGTAATTATTCAGCCAAAAATCAGCACCTTGGCAGTCCTATGCTAATCTGCAAATGGGGCAACGTGGACACATTTGACCACTATGGGAAAAAATTAGCGTTTCGCTTATGACAGCACATTTGAGGTGACTGATGAGGGAAACGGGGAATACGTGGAATAATATACTGAAATTTCATTTCTTCAATTATCGAAGATAAGGAGAACAGAAGAGTTTCATAAAAGCGAAAAAAATTGTAAACACTAACCGATTCAGGAACGTGGAGGGTAAATCACGGAATTGGAAGTTAGAATCATAAATGGCATGTCATATTGAAGAGCGGTCTACTTGAAGAAACCAGAATTCAAATAAAAACTCGACATCCTGACTTTATTTCTCTCTTCAATTGCAAATAAATTATACCTGTGTTTATCATGTTTTGATGCTCCCAAACAATTACAAATTGAACATAGTCCGTTGTACTAGATAATAAGAAAAGAGAGTTGCAATATAGGTGATAAAATGTGACTAGTAATTGAATTCTAGTTCCACGATGCTATTGCACTTGCTGCGACTTCAACTCGAGCCCATAACTTAACACAATTTATTTGTGCCTATTGAAATGAAGGTAGCTTAACTATCCACCCTACATCGGTTCTCCACGTTTTCCTTGTTAACTCAAATTCAAAGCTGCTCCTTTAGTGGATCTTTGGCAATAAATAGCTATCTTCGGGAAGACCCCATTTCAATTAAAAGCAGAACGGTAAGGCCTCCCAACAGGAGAGAACGAAAGATAGTTAAGAGAAGTTTAGTGGTAGGGAGGCAGTCTACGAAGAGAGGGGGAGTGGAGTTAGAGAGAAAAAGCATTTAGACACTTAATCGAAGTAGCAATTTCAATTAAACCCATTTTGTCATAGCTAACTAACTACGTGCGGGTATTTCAAAGACAAATACTGTATTAAATAAAATAAGTCTAACTAGATTGACTTACCAGCCTCCTTGGACAGATGAAAGTAAAAGAGACTTGAGTTTTTCTCAGCTGCCACTATAGAAAAGACGAAGGGAGAAGGAGACCCGTGCGTTTTGGCTAGACTGCAAACTAGGCTACCAACGAGAGCAGACTCTGGGACGCCAAGATTAACAACCACCCCACTGGCTCCACTTTCTTCTGCTTCTTGGCGGAAGTCGCTGATATTCATAATCACTTGCTTGCCGGCGGTGATACTGGATGTTTCAATAACTGGAGGCCGTCTTTCCGAAGCTTCAATTACGATCTTTGTCTAAGAAAAAAAATTGACGCATGCCATGATATGATGCTTAAACAACGAACAAATAAAGCACTCATTCACTTTTTCTTTCCATGAACTCTACGTTTCCTTGTTATAAACACATTAAGTAAATTATATTATCGATATTTTGGAAGGCAAATGAAATGAAGTGCCCAGACATACCCTTCCTGATTAAGAAAGCATTCAACAAGTACTGAGCTTCGCTGGCAAGCATTTGCTGTGATTCAGGGAATGAATAAGGAAACATGGAAAGTGGGCTATTCATTAAATTAATTTTGTAGCACCCGGACTCAAAAAATTAATGAAGCAAGACTCTTTGTTCTTTGATGCTGTCCTCAGAGCCATTTTACTCCCCACCCCCCCCCCCCTNCCCCCCCCCCCCCCCCCCCATTTTGGTTGCTTTCACTGCCAAAATCTGCAAAAAAATGTAATACTGTGTGGTTTGACTAATGAAGCCGGTATAAAGCATGAAAGCGTGATCTTTGACACGAATGTGAAGAATAGAAGGTGGGCATTTTGAAAAGTTGGTCTTCCTAAAGAATTTGAATGTCAATGAGGAATTTAGTTATTATGAGAAATTTCCAAATATTGAATCAGGTATTTCAACATTACACAAAGCTTTATTTCCGGAAAGGGAATTAATTTAGTTGTTCTCTTGACTTAGTGCGGCTTTTATATATTACTAAAACTGAACAAACTCAAAACAGAACCACCTCATTGAATGCCCAAAAAAATGAAAGCAATTACTTAAATCTATACAAAAGAGTGTCAGAGGAGGTGGTAAGACATTGTACAACTATTTCGCTTAACCAGATTTAATTGTAATATATGCCACCTCCGTAGAAATGCATATAAGTAGTATCGATATACTTTTTAGTGGTTTAAAATGTTTGCAATAGGCAAACAGTAAGCGTCTCCCGATCACCCAGTAAAACACAAAGAGGTGCGTGTCGGTTAATTAACCGAAAAGGAATAAAGTGGCTCAGATGGAATTTTCACTTTCAACCGTTGAAAATTCCTTGCAAGCTTAAAACAATCTTTCTTGCCACATAGACTTTGAATACCACTAGTATCAAAGCTAAAACTGAGCTACCTAATTTAAATCAATCCATACCTACTTCATCCATTTCCGTTTGGAAAAAAATAATAAAATTGAGATCAATTCTTTGTCAAATTTTGAGCTGGAGAGTAGTTGAATCATATTGAAGCACTTGGAAGTAAAGCTTAAATGCAAAACCTAATGCGATGCCTGTATGCTTTGGGAACAATTATTTGTTTTGCCATTTATAAAAAAATTGGTTGCTTTTTATGCGCTAATTTAGCACTAGAATTTAGGCGTTGATGGCTTTGTCGTCAGGGCTGTTTCATCCTTCACTTTAACTACAAGGACATTGAATGGGTAGGGAAAATTGTATAGTAAAAGATTAAATTAAGGCGGAAGAAAACGCCCTTTCCTCTTCGGAGACATCAAATGAAACTGGTGACTGACTGGGAATATCTTTTAACCCATGAACATCTTAAAATGCCCGGCTAACACGAGATCCCGCATTGACTGTGTGATATTATTGGATAGAGGAAATAGGAAAAATAGTTCTCTGAGGATTTATTTCTAACCGTGGGATGTGCGATAGACTTACCTCGACGTGGTGCATCCTGGGCAACGTATACTCATACGGGAAAAGTCTATTAACCGGCAGTTGACTTCTGACTTAAAGCTCCCATCACTTCCACCGTATGTCATATTCGACTACTTTCACAGTACTCATCTCACCTCGACTATTTGTCATATTTGACCCCTTTCACAGTACTCATCTTACCTTGTCATATTCGACTACTTTCACAGTACTCATCTCACCTTGTTTCCACCTTTGTGTCTGTCTCTTGTACATCTTGTACACTCTTCAGTTCCCTGCCCCCCCCCCTCTTAACTTTTTTCCCTTTGATGTTCCTTTCCCTCTGTGAAGCCTGAAGTCAACTAAAGGGCTAATGGTAACTATCAGAAAGCCTGTCATTTGATATAAATAAATAAATAAATTTCTAACCGTACTTACGTTGCTTACTGAAATAAACTTTCCTTAACTTTGATGGAGGGAAATTTTTCATAATCCATTACGATCACTTTACCAATATATGACTACTCAAAAATCATAATTGACTACAATAATATGAGCTAATCTCCTTTTGGGTGCTATTTCCTATCTTACTAATAACAGCGATATCGTTTAAGATTACAAGTAGTCTTTTATTTTCCGACGCTTCCCTACCGTCCCCTCCCCTCCCCCCCCCCCCAAAAAAACAATGACCAAAACTAGTACGGGGCAAAATTAGCAAACTCCGCATGAAAAAAAACTCCACCATAAACCCAAAACAAAATTTGATGACGAATGACCAGCAAGCTTCTGTGTTCTCGTCAAGGTGTTCAAGAAACTATTTCTTATTTTAAATAAACTTATTCAGAACTATTCGGCTATGGGGTGGCTACTCTACCGGTATAAGTGCCCTATTGGAGCCTAATTTGTGCGGCTATGAGACCATCTCTATACTTAATGGTAGTAAGTGCCTTGGAAAGTTGGACTTAGCAAAGGATTCCTTGTAAATCAAAGTTGCGTCAGAGTCGCACCAATTTCAGACTATCAATATACCAAACTTCCATGTGTTTCAAAGAAAGAGCCTGCTATTTTCCAAAAATATAATCAATAGAATGAAATCGAGCCTCCCTGCATATCTAAAGTGCATAATTGTTGTAAATCACCCTCGGCAGGAACTTCAACAGCGTATCGTTTCACTACCTTTATGTATCCAGAAGTTCTACCGAAACTCTTCTGGCTCAATAACCCAGGACAATTCAAATTGCAAACTTTCAAAGGGCCCAATTTTACATTGTTTAACTTCTGGGGATAACAAAATTCTTGGAACGGGCACATCAGTTTATGTAAGTGGTCAATAGCCGAGTGACACTTGCTATATGAAATTGGTATCGAAGCAAACTACCCTAGCTGGAAACGAGTCCTATGTATACCAACTTGGACGTTCTTGCTCTCCCATCACAAGGAAATAATGGAAATTAGGATGCCCATCACAGTAATCAAGAAAGCTTCGTTCGGAACGTTTGGACTTTCAAAATTTATGCAGCAAGAATGCCGACTAGAGGTATTGAATAAAAGTTAATATTGTTACCAAATTAAATTAAAGTAATAACTAAATATGTTTATAAATCTTGTCATTATTGATTTAGGTTTGTGCTTAGTTTGAATCGGTATTGAGGCTGGAACTCTTCTTAAAACTCCTAGATTACTGAGCAGATTTTTCTCTGCGATAACCAAAACTTAGTAACCATTTCAGTAATTAGAACAAATCGTCTTTTCCTCCAAATTAATTTCTCTACCTAAAATCAGGGCAGAAAGGATAATTTTTAACGATTTTAAAGTAGTCTTTCACTTTTCCATCTAGCCAAGACAATAAGGTGAGTTTAGCAGGGACATTTAAAAGTGGAGTTCAACTAATGTGAGCTCTATTGGGATCTTAACAACGCAATTTATACGATTGAAGTCAAATGGAGAAAAGCAATTGCAAATTGTGAAACAATTTCGTAATCATCGTTGAGACCGTGGTAGCAATAATACCTTCTTTAAGAAATCTGAGGAAAAGTAACGTAGAAATTGCGATAAAAATGAATTTTGAATTAAACATTAAGAGTGAAAGAATAGAACGAGAAGATTTTAGCATAAAAAGTTGCAAACCTTTACATTTAAAACAGAACGCAACTAAGAATGGGTTTCGTGCGAACAGAATAAAGGACGCCAAGTGTTCCCCCCCCCTAGCCATCTTATGAAGAAAAAGATGCATGTTTTAACCGAGACATTAGCGTCAGGTTAGCATCCAGTAATCCGACAGAGTGTAATTTAAGAGTAGATGAAACCAGACGCTAGGTGAAATAGGAAACTCAGTTGACAAGCTCGCTTGACAAGTGCAGAGCCATTTTAAAGAGAAATTCAAAATTCTGGCATTTTCATTGCCTATCAAATTTGACAAAGTGCGCTCGACTATCAACATCATTGAATATGCATCATTGAACATGGCACCAATAGATATCTAACAGACAGACGTTAACATTGACCACCGGGTCTCTATCGCAAAAAGTGCACTGCTTATTCTAAAAAATCGACTATGCTCAAAATCACATGAATGAATTTGCATTTTAACATTACTGTTAAGTAGATTAACTCAATCATTTTCAGAAGAGCATTTAATTCATCGAACACATCGGCAAAGAAAAAACGACAAATGCAAAAATGTCTCATATTAGTTGTCCTAAATTTATAGTAGAGTGTGACTAAATGGAGGAGCGAATAAGATATCCTTTATGTACACACTATTATAGCCCAATTGTGACTTGCGTTTGCATTCTACTACTTATCAGATGCAGTAGAGAAAGGATGTTACAAAAATTTATTAGGATCGTTCACATTCGTCGACCCCCATCCCACGCGTGTTGAACGCAATCAGACATTGATGATTCACGTAATTTTGTTTCTACGGCTTGTACAACACCACACACAATTGCAATTATTGAGGTTATAAACAACCTCAACAACAATTTCTGGCCTGAATTAATGGCCAACTTGCCTGTAAATCATTGTAACATTAGAATGGGATCATGAATGGTCTAGCAAGCTTTAAACATGCAATAATTCGCGTTAACATCGCTGCCTCCACTCTCTCTCTCTCACTCGCCCCTTCTCTTGGCATTTAACATTATGCTCGGAACGCTTTTTCTAATTCACACCTTCACCACGCTGTAAATGACAGGGGAGTGCAAAGTAAAATGTACATGTAATAATCGGTATGAGTGGAAGCGCATACGGTCAGGTTAAAGGGGTGCCCTATTGTTTTAGAATTTGCCTCAATTGATGCGAACTAGTCACTTAAGCGAAATTAAAAGTGATATTCGATTAATTTCCAAAGGCTGGCATTTTGTAAAGTTGGTAAGGTTAACAAACCATATTTACTCATTAATTGAGTGCTGTAGTTTAGTGGAACAAACATGCTGTTAATTGACTAACTAGAATCATGCT